GCGCCAGGGCCAGGAAGGAAAAAGGAATTAGACAAGAATGTGATAAGGAATTTCCAGATGTTGACCAGAATTGCGAATGCCAGCAACCACCAAATGTAATTCTGCATCTCAGAGACACTCGAATCCGAATTGCCCGAGACGCGCCAGGATCAGGATGGAAACAAGGAGATGGACGAGGAATTTGATAAGGAATTCCCAGAACTAGAAAGGAATGTCGGATACCAAAGGTAATTCTGCAATCTCAGAGACAACCGCGTCTGACTGAATTGCCCGAGAAGTGCTAGGGCCGAAAAGGAAGAGGGGCTTAGAGAGGAATGTGATGGGGAATTTCCAAAACCAGAAAGGAAGTTTGGATGCCAAGTGCAATTCTGCGCCTCAGAGACAATCGAATCCGAATTGCCCGAGATGCACCAGGGCCACGAAGGAGAAAGGAGGTAGACGAGGAATGTGATAAGGAATTCCCATAGTTATACAGATTCTCGCGTACCAGGGGCAATTCTGCATCTCAGAGACAATCGAATCAGAATTGCCAGAGAAACGCCAAGACCTGGAAGGACAAGGAAGAGTTAGAAATGAATTCGATAAGGAATTTCCAGAGTGAGCAAGGAATTTCAAATGCCAGGGGCACTTCTGCGCCTCAGAGACCATCGAACCAGAATTGCCCGAGAAGCGCCAGGGCCAGGAAGGAGAATTGAAAGGGGCGTGATAAGGAATTTCCAGAGGTAGAAAAGAATTTCGAATGCCAGGGGCAATTCTGCATCTCAGAGACAATCGAATCATAATTGCCCGAGAAGCGCCAGGGCCAGGAATGAAAACAAAGAGCTAGAAAAGAAACCTGATGAGGAATTTCCCGAGTTAGAAAGGAATGTCGAATGCTCGGGGAGATTCTGCATCGCGGAGACAATCCAATCATAATTGCCCGAAGGGCGCCAGGACCAGGAAATAACAAAACAGATAGACAGGGATGTGATAAACAATTTCCAAAGTTAGACCGGAATTGCGGAAACAAAGGCAATTCTGCATCTCAGAGACAATCGAATCATAATTGCCCGCGAAGTGCCAGTGCCATGGCGGAAAAATGAGGTAGAGAAGTCGACTGCCAGCGGCGACTCTGCACCTCAGAAAAATTCCAATCCGAATTGCCCAACGAGCACCTGGGCCATGAAGGAACAAAGGGGTTATAAAGGAATGGGATGAGGAATTTCCAAATGTCAGAAAGGAATTTCGACTGCCAGGGGCAAATCTGCATCTCAGAGGCAATCGAATCCGAATTGCCCGAGAAGCGCCAGGGCCAAGAAGGAAAAAGGAGTTACAAAGGAACGTGATAAGGAATTTCCAGAGTTAGACAGGAATTTCTAATGCCAGGAGTCATTCTGCATCTCAGAGAGAATCGAATCAGAATTGCCCCCAGAAGCGCCAGGGCCAAACAGGAAGAAGGAATCAAAAATGAACGCGATAAGGAATTTCCAGAACTAGAAAGGAATTGCGAATACCAAATGTAATTCTGTATCTCCGAGACAATCGAATCGGAATCGCCCGAGAAGCGCCAGGCCTTTTTGCCCTTCCTGGCCCCGGCGCTTCTCGGACAATTCGGACTGGGTCATTTCTGAGATGCAGGACTACCCCTGGTACTCGAAATTCCTCTCTAACTCCTCGCCCCTGCCTGGCCCCGGCGCTTCTCGGGCAAATATGATTCGATTGTCTCTGGGATGCAGACTTGCCCCCGGTATTCAAAATTCCTTTCTAACTCAGAAGCAATCGAATCCGCCCGAGAGGCGCCAGGACCAAGAAGGAAAAAGGAAGTTACAAATGAACGTGATAAGGAATTTCCATAGTTAGACAGGAATTTCGAATGCCAGGGGCAACTCTGCATCTCAGAGACAATCGAATCAGAATTGCCCGAGAAGCGCCAGGACCAAACAGGAAAAAGGAGTTAGACAGGAATGTGATAAGGAATTTCCAAAACTAAACAACAATTGCGAATGCCAGCTGTAATTCTGCATATCCGAGACAATCGAATCGGAATCGCCCGAGGAGCGCCAGGCCTTGTCCTTCCTGGCCCTGGCGCCCCTCGGGCAGTTCGGACTGGATCATTTCTGAGATGCAGAATTACCCCTGGTATTCGAAATTCTTTACCTGTGGAAATTCCTACTCCACTTCCTCTCTAACTCATTTTTCCTTCCTGTCCCTGGCGCTTCTCGGGCAATTATGATTCGATTGTCTCTGAAAAGCAGAATCACCCCTGGCATTTGGCATTCCTGTCTAATTCTGGAAATTCCTTACCGAATTCCTTTCTAACTCCTTTTTCCTTCCTGGCCCTGGCGCTTCTCGGGCAATTCTAATTCGATGGTCTCTCCGGCGCAGAAGTACCCCTGGTAGTCAAAATTCCTGTCTAACTCTGGAAATTCCTCATCACGTTCCTTTCTAACTCCTTTTTCCTTCATGGCCCTGGCGCTTCTCGGGCAATTATGATGCGATTGTCTCTGAGATGCAGAATTACATCTGGCATTCGCAATTCCTGCCTAACTCCGGAAATTCCTTTTTCACATTCCCTTCTAGCTCCTTTTTTCCTTCCTGGCCCTGGCAGTTCTCGGGCAATTCTGATTCGATTGTCGCAGAGATGCAGAATTACCCCTGGCATTCGACATTCGATTTGAACTCTGGAAATCCTTACCACATTATGTCCACCTCCTTTTTCCTTCCTGGCCATGGCGCTTCTCGGGCAATTATGATCCGATTGTCTCTGGGATTCAGACTTCCCCCTGGTATTCGAAATTCCTTTCAAACCCGGCAAAGTCCTTATGAAATTCCTGTATAAATCCTTTTTCCTTCCTGGCCCTGGCGCTTCTCGAGCAATTCTGAATCGATTGTCTCTGAGATGCAGAATTACCCATGGCATTCAAAATTCCTTCCTGACTCTGGAAAGTCCTTATCGAATTCCTTTCTAACTCATGTTTCCGTCCTGGCCCTGGCGCTTCTCCGGCAATTCTGAATCGATTGTCTCTGAGATGCAGAATTACCCCTGTTATTCAAATTTCCTTCTCTAACTCTGAGAATTCCTCATTTCGTTCCTTTCTAACTCCTTGTTTCCTTCCTGGCCCATGCGCTTCTTTAGCAAGTTTGATTCGATTGTCTCTGAGATGCAGAATTACCCCTGGTATTCGAAATTCCAATCAAAATCGGAAAATCTTGTCACCGTCCTTTTCTAAATCGTTTTTCCTTCCTGGCCCTGGCGGTTGTCTCTGAGATGCAGAATTGCCCCTGGTATTCGAAACTCCTCTCTAACTCTGGAGATTCCTTATCACATTCCTTTATAGCTCCTTGTTCCTTCCTGGCCCTGGCGCTTCTCGGGCAATTATTATGCGATTGTCTCTGGGATGCAGAATTACCTCTGGTATTCAAAATCCCCTTTCTAACTCCGAAAAATTCCTTATCAACTTCCTGTATAACTCCTTTGTTCCTTCCTGGCCCAGGTGCTCCTCGGGCAATTCGGACTGGATCTTTTCTGAGATGCAGAATTACCCCTGGTAGTCAAAATTCCTTCTCTAACTCTGGAAATTCCTTATGCAATTCCTTGATACATCCTTTTTCGTTCCTGGCCCTGGCGCTTCTCTGGTAAGTATGATTCGATTGTCTCTGAGATGCTGAGTTACCCCTGGTATTCGAAATTCCTTCTCTAACTCTGGAAATTCCTCATCACATTCCATTATAACTCCTTTTCTTCTTCCTGGCCCTGGCGCTTCGCGGGCAATTCTGATTCGATTGTCTCTGAGATTCAGATATCCCCCTGGTATTCGAAATCCCTTTCTAACTTGGGAAATTCCGCATCACATTCCTTTCTAACTCATGTGGCTCTTCCTGGCCCTCCCCTATCACTCATCGGACAAATCCGTTTCGACTTATCTTAGATTCCGAATTCTCACCGGCATTAGAAATTCCTTTCTAACTCGAAAAACTCCTTGTTTCGAACTCCTTTCCAACTATCTATAAATGCAGGTCCAAAAATTGGCTGATCAACACCCTGAGACTGTCATATTAATTCCGGTTACAATTATTGCTGTACTTGTATACAGCGTGCGCTACAGCAACTAATCCCTTAACCAATTAACGCAGTACTGCACCCCAGAGAGAGAACAAACAAAAACGATTGTAGACCGCAGCAAGCCCCGGCGCGGCGAGGGGTTTGGCCACAACGGGCCCCAGCGAGGCGAGGGGTTAGGCCGCAACGAACCCCTGCGTGGCGAGGGGTTAGGCCACAACGGAACCCAGCGGGGAGAGAGTGCAGGCCGCAGAGACCCCCACCGTGGCGAGGGGTTAGGCCACAGCGATCCCCAGCGCGGCGAGGGGTTAGGCCGCGGGGGGCCCCAGCGTGGCGGAGGGGAGCCGCCGCCACAGCGCTCCCTGGAGGAGCGAAGGGCAGAGGAGCGGCAGCGGCCATCCATCAGGCTGCTCCTCGAGCTCTGAGCCCAGGGCGAGCATCGGGTCGGGCGAAAGGGGGGGATAGCAAAGGGGGGGGTTGAGAATCAGCTCACGTAGCTGATTTTCCCGGCGCCTCCCGGCGCCGGAGGCGGCTATGTATCGAGGAATGGGCCCGGCGGCGGGGCCGAAACCAGCTACATGCAGCAGATTTCGTACCCCCCCTTTCCCAAACCCCCCCCTTCGCCCGACCCGAGAGCAGCAGCAACAAGACGCTGCCGCCCGAAGGGAGCTGCGACTCACGGAGTCGGCAGCGACGGGCGGCGACGCAAAGAGAAGGGTGCGTACCGAGGCCGCGGGCCCACCCTCCCGCGGGTGCGTGCGGGCGCGCTCGCACAGGGTGCCGAGACCCCTTGCGCGCTTGCGCACGCCAAAGCACGCGTGTTAAACCCCTCCTCCTTGCTCTCTTCCTCCTCCTCCTCCTCCTCCTCCTCCTCCTCCTCCTCCTCCTCCTCCTCCTCCTCCTCCCTCCTCCCCCTCCTCATCCCCCCCCTGGCCCTCGGCAGGCGCTCCGAGCCCTCGGCAGGCCGCAGCCTCTGGCCGCGGCGGCGGCGGTGAGAGCTCGTCGAAGGGCTTGAACTTCGCCCAGTGCACGGGCTGCCGCGGCTGCGGCTTGCCCGCCGCGGCGGCGCCCGGAGCCTTGGCGTCCGGGCTCTGCCTGCGGGGGGGCGACCCTCGTAGGCTGCGAAGGCAGGACAACGAGAACGTCGGACGATGATACTGGAGGTGCCCTGGGACACACAAATAAATACACACAAATAACAGGATTCACCATATTTTCTCATATTTTCTAAGTTTTTGTCTTCCCCCCACTTCCCACATTTTCTTATATTTTCCAGGGGATCGGCGATTCATTGTGTCTGTGTGTTTTTTCCCCTCCTGAGATAACATCGGACGGGGATACCTCGGGAATTCCCGAGGTCCCGCGGCTGCGGAGGAGTCTCGGGCGCCGCGGCCTTCTCAGAGCGTTCCGGAACGATGAGAGAGCGTTGGGGAACGCTCTGGAACGGATTTGTCCTCGTCCTGGCCCCGCCCGATCTCACGAGCCTTCAGCTTGCCCCTGTCCCTGAGGCTGACAAGCCAAAGGCCATGAGAATGCAATCCTGGGGATGCGCCCTTAGAGGCTGAGGGGAGCCTCAAGATCAGCATCATATAGTCGGGAGCGGCCAAGAGGGGGGTGTCCAAGAGGGGGGGTGCAAATCATGGCCGGCGGCATGTGCGCGGCCCAGGGGGGGGGGGGCCAGGGACGTAATGAAACAAGAAGAGGCGCCATGAAATCTGCGGAGATATCATGGCCCGCGCCATGATATCCACCCCCCCCTAGTCATCAACCCCCTCTTTTTCCGCCCCCGATATAGATAAGGCGATGCCAATCAGAAGGGTAATTAGAGATATGCTTCAGGCTGGTAAGACTCGGGTGGCCCCAACCCAGGTCCCCTCGCGTGGTGGACCAATCACAGCGGACAATTTTGGACAACTTTCGGCCTCCAGTGGCCCTCGCCGGGCCCTGGGACCGTCAAAGGACTCGGAATGAAAAGTGGGTCGCTGGGAAAGGGTCCAGACATCCGGGGGCTGACGTGCTGGACCCCGACTGATAGGAGGAATAACGCAGACGATTGGGGCGTCTTCCCAGGACATCCGACGATACGTATGTTTTCATCTCTCATCTCTTGGCTCCAATTCTGACGGCTCCGTCCCCTTCCTCGGGGGTAGCTTTCGGCCCGGACCCATGTGCCATTGCCCCAGGGCCCGATAACGAGCTCAAGACGCCGAAACCGCCGAGGAGATCATAACTTCGGAGACCTAGGTGGGGCTCTGGTTCGAAGCTCGATCCCAGTCGGTGGCTATGGATAAATCCCCGCCTCGGATAAGATTCGGACCCCCGAAATGATTACAGTCGGGGCGTTGACCTAAGGAACCCTAAGTAAGGAACGAGGCCCCTTTTTTCCATAGATAAACTTAGATTTCCTATCGGAAACATAAGGAAGACCTGAGGCAAGCTGTGAAACACTTAAGGAACGCGGAGCCCGTCCCCAACCAAAAGGGTTCCTTCTTCAGGGCCCCGACTGTACGATGCCCAGCAGCAAAGGTTGTCCACAACCGACAGCGGCCGCTGCAAGGCAGGCGGCCTTCGGTCTTACACGGACCACGTCTGCAACGACGCCGACTATGAACCCGTGTTCAAACAAGTGGGCATGCACTGCTGTCGGTAGGAAGAAAAAACGGCATGAACACAAACTTTTGGCGCTCCGCGCGGATTTCTTGCATCCGCGCTGGACCCCCCCCCCTCCCTGGCGCGCGGATCGCCAAAACGTTACGTTTATGTGGTTTCTTCATCTTCTTCGAAATTGTACCGGCGCGAGGCCGCGCGATTGTTTTGTCTGCCGCTCCCCGGCTGCCACACGTCGGGCTGCGTCCACGTGCGCACGCACATGGCACCCCCCCTCCGAGAACGGGCGGCAGCCCGCCGCGCCGGGGGCCTACCAGGCGAGGCCGCATTGCACGTCGGGAAGACGCCTTGCGTGCCCGCCCTCCTCCTCCTCGTCCTTCTCCTCCTCCTCCTCCTCCTTCTTCTCCTCCTCCTCCTCGTCCTTCTCCTCCTCCTCCTCCTCCTCCTCCTCCTCCTCCCCCTCCTCCTCCCTCCTCCTCCCTCCTCCCTCCCTCCTCCTCCTCCTCCTCCTCCTCCTCCTCCTCCTCCTCCTCCTCCTCCTGCTCGTCCTTTTCCTCCTCCTCCTCCTCCTGCTCGTCCTTTTCCTCCTTCTCCTCCTCACCCTCCTCCTCCTCCTCCTCCTCCTCTTCCTCCTCCTCCTCCTCTTCATCCTCATCCTCCTCCTCCGATCCCAGTCCTCACGGGCGTGGCCTTGACCCCACCTGGCCGATGTACCCCCCAGAGCCAGGTATACCTAGGCTGTGCCCTTCGGGGTTCGACTGGGAGGGTGGGATGGCGGGGCTGAGGTACAGTAGGCCCCCGTCCACAAGAAACCTCCCACAAGAAACCCAACCCTGGGACCCCAGGGCGTCCATTGATCGTCCATTGATTTTTGGTGTGGGAATGTCACACGTTCCATGGCAAAACCATCGAAACCCAAGAAACCCAGGGCACCCTGGAAAAGAGCAGGGTGTTTCTTGGCATGGGTCTCCACTGTACTAATACTGCGATTATGTTTTTGTTGTTATCCTCTCTCGTATGATGGTCGGTACCGAGGCCAGCCCCCCACCCCATCCCCTAGGTAATTGACGGTAGCGATCGTGCGTAGGCGGGAGCCTGGACCCACCGGCACACATGCTGGTGCTCGCACGCACACTGTGGCGATCGCAGCGCACCCCCACTCCGACGTGCCCCACCCCGCCAAAGCGCTATCGTTCCCACCCGTCCTCCGCCCCCCCTGGGTAACGACCGCCACCGAAAATTCGCCGGCCCACGGGGCCATGCAGAGGCGTGCTAAAACCTGCAGTCAGAGTGTAATGATGCTTTTACTTCAAGCGCGCGCGTGGCGACCCCGGGGGATCCCTGCACGAACAGCACCCCGGGCAGGAAGCAGGCGTTGCGGAGGAGGGAGGGGAGGATTTGGAAGAGCAGGATGAGGTCGAGGAAGGAGAAGGAGCGCGGGGGATAGGGGGGAGGCGACGAACGAGTGGGCGAGAGGGGGAACGGGGGAGGGGGCTAAACGAGGAGGGGGGGCTGAGATGGAAGGGGGCATGCCAGAACTCAGAGCGCCCCAGGAGCGCCGCAAGGAGGCGCCCAAAGGGGTGGGAGGCCCGACGGCCTCAGGCCAAGAGCGCTCCAAGATGGCCCGAGCTGGTCCCAAGACGGCCCAAGAAGCGTCCAAGTCACCCCAGGAGGGTTCCAAGAAGACTTCCAGCAGCCCGGAAGACGCAAAGTCCGCCGACCCAGTCGGCGTGTGTGAGACGCTGTCGTCGTCGTCGTCGTCGTCGCCAGCCCCAAGGGAATCTAAAAACCAACCGAAAAAAGAAACGCCGTACAAGGAATGTCGTAGTTAAGTCGATTCCCTCTCCTTTTCCCCTTGCTGACAGGGCGTGGGATGAGAGGGGGGTTCATTAGGGGGGGAGGAGGAGGAGGAGGAGGAGGAGGAGGAGGAGGAGGAGGAGGAGGAGGAGGAGGAGGAGGGAGGAGGAGGAGGAGGAGGAAGGAGGAGAGGAGGAGGAGGAGGAGGTCACCTGCTTGTCGCCCTCCTCTGGGGTCTCCCTGTCGGCAAGGGTGCTCGAGATCCCTCCCCCCTCCTCGGCACGGGCCCCGGCCCCAGTCCCAGCCCAAGCCCCGGGCCCCCGACCCCTGGTCCCTGGCCCCAGTCTCGGCCCCTGCCGCGCTGGCCCCTGTCCTCCTCCTCCTCCTCCTCTCCTCCTCCTCATCCTCCTCCTCCTCCTCCTCCTCCTCCTCCTCCTCCTCCTCCTCCTCCTCCTCCTCCTCCTCGTCTCTCCTAGCTGCCATCTGGGCCCAAGAGATTGCCAGGACAGCAGCACACTTACACACCGTCATTCCACAGAATGTGGAGGCAGGACTGACTGGGCGGAAGCCCGCATGATAGTGATGCGATGGATGACCTCCCTCGCGCTACTGCTCTACAGCCCGATGACGGCTAGAGAGGACCGCCTCCAGGAGATCCTGGAGGAAGCAAACAATTTCGATGTTGTGATCCTGACAGGCACACGAAGACTCCGACGAGGAGCATAACCAGAACAACGAAGACTACAACAGACAAGGCACATAGATGCAGGGTGGCAGAGTGGCTTACTCACCAACCGCAGCACGGGAATACTGGTAGCACTACAAGGACGACTACGGGGAGCGGCTATACTAGCAGTACATGCCCCTACACCGGAACTCTGCGGAAGCGGTGTGGCACTGGATATTGCGTACCATACCATGCGACTGACGATCATCGGTTACTACTTCCCGCCTCAGCCGCGCACGAAAGAGGAGAAGAAACAATACTACGCTATCGTGGCACGACTTTACAAGTGGATGGATACCATAGCACAACAGCGACCACCAGGCAGTCTACTATTCACAGCACAGCGGGCGACCTGAACGACGGGATCGGCGCCACGGCGAGAGGTCAAACGCCACCGAGCACAGCACTGGGCGAGTACCGCACGAAAGAACGACTACCAATAGGAGCAGGACAAAGAGCACGCCAATACGCAGAGCGCCACCAACTCCTGGTCACGAGCAGAACCTCACCGTGGCGCCCGACATATTTCGGCACACATACGGCGAGCTGCATCGACTTCACCATGATACCGCAAGGACTCTCCTGCAACGTCATCAGCCCGGGACCACTCCTCCGCTTGGGCACCAGACTGCAGCATATCCCCAGCAGATACCACCGAGACCACGTACCAGTACAGACAACTGTCACATTGATGATCCACCGACAACAAGTTCAGAGGCAGAAGCCAGTAAGATGGGACAATGACCTACTTGCGCAGGCGGCTCGACACGACAACATCGCAACGAGTTCATTGAAGCGCTGGAAAACAAGACTCGAGACGTACGTCCCCGATGGCAAGGGCATAGACCAGTTGTTCGCGGACATCAATGACATGATCGTACAGGCGGCGCTCCCCATTAATGGACAACGGCCACCACCCACACCGGCTTACGACGACCTACGAGCACGCCGTATGAAACTAATCCGACAGCGCAGAGAACTGTCTGAACAACTCAGATGGGAGGGAGACGCACTATGTATCGGACCCATAGAAGGACATCCGATCAACAAGGCGCCGATCACCTACGAGACGGGATCCCCACTGAGGACCAGCGCGACTACTGGATCACCGAGGGCAAGTGTTACTACTGGGACTCCACCAACGGACTGTGCGGCTACAGGGTCGTCACCTACGAAGTATGAGACGACTGGACCTGCACCGAGGGATGGTGATCCCACTGGGACTACGCCGACGGACCCAAGGGAAAGAAGACTGAGCGAGATCGAGAACCAACTGCGCCTAATCACCAGGGAATGTGCGATCATGCGCAAAATGGAATACCAGAAGCTGACGGACGATAGATTGAACGAATTGTACGAGGCATGGGAATGCAGAGACCTAGCGAGAATAGGCAGATTGACCCGACTCATTGCGGGAAGCAGACACGGGCCACGGAAACGCGACTACTGGACAATTACGGCACAACCGACACGGGAAGAATGGCTGTTTTTTTGGGGGGGAATTACCAGGAGGAATGGGCGGAATTGAAAGAACGGAGCAGGACGATAACACACTGGAACAGATACCAACGCGCGCAGAGGCGCAAGACTACGACAAAAACGACTTAGGGGAGATGATAGACCAGGACATAGAGAACATCAAGCACAGAAGAGCGAAGCTACGACGAGCTGAGCCACCCACAGCGGCGCCTTCAGAATTGTGGAGGCTACTACCGGGAGACTTCGCACCAGAACCACAACGACACCAAGGCCTGGGAGCGCCAACCGCACAAGCTGAACCAGACCTCTCCAACGACCTGTCTCGAGCATCAACTGGCTGCGATACGACTCAGCAACACTCCGCCAATACGCTGGCACCAGAGCTTGGCGACGGCTGCCAAGAAGAACAACAAACCGTGACCACCAGGAAAAATAATCGACCACATCATGGATCCGATCGGCAAGGCGAATTACTCAACCAACATGCGACGACAACGGACACGAGTACACACAGACAAGGACTATGGCTCCATCAAAGGACGACGCCGAGAAGGAGCAATACTGGCAGTGGCAGTCGTGGAGTATCAAGTACGCCAAGAAGGCCGCACCTACATCACGACACTGAAGGACACTACGCCCTCGCGAGCTGTTCATGGGTCACGATGGACGCAACCAACAGCAAAATCATGCCAGAGGATGCTTTGGAACCTGGGAAAACAACGCTACAGGCGCGCTACGTTCCATATACCATGCCGAGACAGACCGACGGGAATATGCATCAAACCACACTGTGGAGTGCTCATCGGCGACCCGTGCATGGTACGCAGATTCGTGGCCAGCTTCGCGCCGTGCGCACACAGATGGGTGCAATATTGCAACGACCACCTGGACCGCGACAACGAACTCTACGGGCGCAACGAACTGTTTCAACAACCTATATACGTGGGTCTGGCCAAGTACGCCGACGATCTCCGCAAGATCATCTTGGGAGGAATGCAGGCAGACGCACCGAGACTGGTACAACCAACACTCCACGTGGACGAGAACCTCAACGAACGACTACGGAGCATCGGGATGCGCCAAAACCAGAACAAGCAGGATAAGTTAGTCTACTTTCAGGGACAAGGCGCACGACGAGCACGCCACCAACTCAAGCACGACCCACGATGCAGACTACCAGGACGGACGCTACCGACGGCACGCTACTTGGGACCACATACCAGCACGACGCAGACGTACGCGACAGAGCTCACACGACGCATCAGAACCATGCAGAAAAGCTACTGCGAGCGCGGGGCTTTCTGGAG